TTCAATGATTATCGAAAGCTTCGATATATGAACAAGCTAGGAAGTGATTAAATTTCATAATATCTAGTTTTCTTGCTCAAGTCGCAAGTTATCGTATTCCACAGGATTCGAGTTGGTATACATGGATGAATTCATTGATAATCTTCTGCGGGAGGAACGATATTGCGATATACAGCTTCCCCGATTACAGGTTTCTTTTCTTAATTTCCACTACTTGGACTTTAAATCATCTCATTGCAGTAATGAAAAACCGGTTTATTCTACGCTTTTGTTCATTTTCCTGATTCTTTTGTTCTTCAGAAAAGACAAGCATTAGAAGAAGCTGGTGAGCTAGAGCCGTATAGAAGTATTCTCGATGAGGACCTGGACGCGTTGAGTGCATCAGACAGTGAAGATGAAAGAGGACAGGAAAGATAAGAAAAAAGTGCGTTTTTTATTACCGTACCAAGAGCGATTCTTTCATTCTTACATCAATTTTCTCCTCTATTTCGTTTCAGGAAAAGCCGCGTTTGATATCGAGGCGGCGGAAGTCGCAGTAGAGGATCGGTCACGAGAACGTGAGAGACCTAGGGAGAAGTTGAAGGAACGTGAGCGCGATGACAAGAAGAGGGAGCGGTCCAGAGAGAGGGACAGAGATCGTGATAGAGACAGGGATCGCCATGAAAGGGATCGTCATGACAAGGATCGAGATCGCCGAAGGGACAGGTCACGCGAACGTGATCGTGAACGTGACAGAGACCGGGACAGAAAGGGTAAGTGTTTGTCTACTTTGAATTGTTGGCCCTTCCGGAAATGGATTTACTTTGCTGAAAGCTCTGAGGAAAAAATTTGAGCTCAGAGGCTAATACCAAATTTGTACTAGTGTTTCCACCTGTTGGGTGTATCGTGATTGCGGATATGAGGTAGGGGGACGGCGTCGAAGAAACTCGGTATTACGTGTGATTTCGATGCTCTTGATACGAAATGATGTTGTGCGTGTCAAAAAGTCAGCAGTTATGACAGTTTTCGATTGAAAATGGAGGACACCCGCAAAATACTGATGCGTGTCTTCCGAGGGTATTTGCTTTTCTCATTTTCGACATTTTTTTTTGCACTGAAGTGACCTGTTAATAAGATGCATTTGTAATATTGTTGATCAAAAAGTAATTTCTAGAACGTGAACGTCCACGTCGCGATGAACGAGATCGCGACGACCGAGATCATCATAGAAGCAAGAAAAGCGGTAGAGATGATGGTGATCGAGAAATCGCTGAGGCAAACGCCCTTAGAGCGAAACTCGGGCTGAATCCGCTTGAACGATGATTTAATAAGTATTCTGTGCAAAGTAGTTCGTGTGGTCTCATATTCGTTCTCGATGTACTAAGAATGATTTATTGCCTGGAAATTATGTACTTCTGATTTTCCTTAGTAACGAGGTCCACATTTCGGGAAGGCGTGCTTTTGCACCTTTTACTTGACCGCTGGAGTATTGCGTTAGACGTTTTGCGTGCTGTAATTACGAAGGCAAAAAATATTTTTTGAGCGAAATTCAAGTCCTCTCATCATTTCGAAATCTCGGCATTTTCAAGTTTATACTTCTGCCTCGAGGTTGGTAGGTAGAATCAATTCTGACCAACGTTTTGACCCTCTCCGTTTTCAGAGGCCTGAACATGGCTTAAAGCTTGCAAGTTAGGTGTTATTCTTCTGAGAGAAGTTCAGAAACGCTAAGGCGGCAAAGGCGTTCGATGGTGTGCAATTCGCAAGCATTAAGTCATGTCGAGATCTTTAAAAACGATGAGACTGTCGAAATGGGCCAGAATGAATTTTCCCTCAACCATCTTCGAGGCAGAAGTATAAGTATAGCCACAACATGTTTTTTGGTTTCCGTCAAGGGAATTCAAAAAAATAAAACAGCATTGTTCACTATCAAAAAGTGCTACAGATCAGAACTGAACTGCTTACTATAATGCTTTGAACTCTTTGAGTGGCTGATGCACTAAAGGTGCTACTCGTAACAATGTTTGGAGTTATTTGGAAATTGTACAGAGAAGCATTTTTGAAAATTTCAGGACATTTTTCATGTATTTGTTTGAATTGTTCTACATGTCTGTGCAGTTTTGTGGGTTTAATTATTTTCTTCCGCTGTTTGTTCGAAACGAGTTGTTTTGGAAGTTTTTGTTGACTATCGCGTCTATGAGATACCGTTGGCTATGACATTTTCATTTGTTACATTAATGAATAAATATTGATACGTAGCGTTTGATCATTCACGGCGGAATTGTTCCCGACAGAATTATCTTCGCTGCGCCTCAGACACAATGGCAGGAGGGCGTGGTGGGCGGAAGTGGCATTGAATGCGTCGCTGCTTCACTTTTCTGGTCCACAGCTTCCACTCATTGTGTTTGGTCTGCTGTCCTACTGCACTCTAACTAAACATGGATTTGTTGAGCTCACGGTTGGATACTTCTTACAACGGTGGAGTTCGGATTTCCGGTTCTCAAGCTTCACGTTGTGCCAGCTGCACGATGCGTGCTGCGTTTGGCAGAAGCGAAGTGGAATATTCTCGATTGGTGTCCAAGTCCAGTGCTAAACTACTCGATTCGCTTTGGGACAAGGTGACCATTCTGAGTTGTTCACGATTTTTTTCTTGAGTTTTTGTTTGCTTGATATTGCCAGACACCAGATGTGTGGCGACGTTGTCCATTCAGCTGACTATAATAATGGCTGTGGGGGGCCATAATGACGCGATCACGTGTTTGCGTGTGTTTTCTAGATGCTTAAGCGCTTTCCTGCTTTTTTTTCGCTCCTACCCGAGATTTCCGGCAATGTCCGGAACCAACCCCCTTTTGCGGTAATAATTAGGGGAAGGGGTGGAAACATCAATCCAGTCGAAACGTGTATCTCGAGAGCGCCTTGGTGGGTGTGTCTGCCACTTTGTCAATCAATTCCTGACTAAAAAAGTCCTAAATTGGTGTGAACTCCAGGCGGCAAGCTATAATTTTCCTCGCGGTTGTTGTAAAGAAATTCTAAAGAAGGACAAATGTTGGTGTTAATCGTCATTCTCGTCTCACTTTGGAAATTTATAGTACTCTAAGTGCATTTCCTGAAGAGTGTATTTACAGAAGCTGATACCAGAAGATGGGTGGCCAGATCACGCTTTGGAATTGTTCCTGTCGTGGCTCGCCTGCCATGACACTAACAACCGTGTGGACATGGTAATTGAAACGTAGCTGTTATGGATTATTCTTTCTTATGAGGCTACACTTTGGAATCATTTTGACTGTTTTTCTAAGTTCTATTCTCAGCCGTCGTTTACAAGTCGTCAATCTTTAATACATTCGAGAAAATGTGCTTCTCCGTTGCAACATATTTTTCATCTTGATATTCATTTCTGATTCTGTTTCCGCTCACCTCAGCGCACCGCCACCCACTTTGGTCACTTCACTCCCTTCCGTCGCTAGCTCCTACCCATTCTGGTTTCTAAGGCGCTCCGGTATGATTTCGTAAGCAGCATACGGTTGAGGGCGCATTCCGCCTGTTATGTGGCGGGGCTCTGTTTATATCAGAGGTTGTTTTCACACCTCGGAAATTGCTCATGGTTTTGGCGATTTTGTGGCTCTAGATAGTCTTGGAACCAGTCTAAAAATCAATAGTGGTTTTGGGGGAAGACCACCCATCGCAATGTATTACTTTCACCCACTGATCCGTCGCTCATCTTTGAATCTTATTCGATCGCTGGGCTACTTTTAACACATTGCAGCCCGCGTGCATCGCCGGGTATGCACGTCGAAACTCCCACATCTGACATTTGTGCATCGCCCGGTATGCACATTGATTTCAAGCTCCCTTTATATTTTTTTTTTTACTTCTGTAACTATAGAAGTTCCACTAGTGCCCTGAACCCAATAAATTCAGGGCTGCTCTCCATCTTCCATTTTTGAACTTCATTTGCCCAACCAGTGCCTCATAAACTGTTTAATAATAAACTTCAATGGCTACTAATTACTGAATATATTTTCTGATGAGAAGCCGAGCAAAAAATAGTGCGAAGCGAAAGAAAAAAAAACGAGAAAAGTAGAACAAAGAAAGGACAAAAGCAATACGTTGCCAGCCCAATGGGGAGGTTGCAGTTGAGATTGTGTGGGTCCTGTGGCGAAATACATGGGTCTTAGCGAGATATATGGGTCAGAACTTCGTGCGTCATCCCCGGAATTTGAAGATTGTAGCTCTGCTCCATGTGAGAAATTTTGTCGTCGATGAAAACGATGCCCGCGTGATTGGCATTTTCGGCCCCGACATCAGCTCTTTGAAGTTTTTGTCTCTGCGTGCTCCTCCCGTTGGATTGAGCAGTGGTGCTTATGCAACTTATAACGGACTGTGAGCAGTTGTTATCCGACCACTCTCTACATGGCTGTGTTTAGAAACTCCAGCGTTCTGGTCACCTTTCTCGAGCCAACCCGGGTATTGCAGTCGTTTCGCTTCTAATGCTTTTCCTGAGATCCAAGATGTCGGAACTTGTGGGGCAGTCGCAACAAAGACTACTTTCATTGCTCTTTCATCCAGTCCACAGTAGGCCGTGGAGCGTGTAAAAATCCAAAGAAGCGCGACGTTCATCACCAGATGTCCGTCCTTACTGCATGGGAGATTAGGACCTCTCTCGAGTATTAGGTGCACCATGAGATGTACAAAGAAAGCTGCTGAATCTGGCATAGTGGCCGGACGCATAGTCGGTCGGACGACAGCAACGACTGCTGCTGTCGGACGACAGCAACGACTGCAGGTGTCGCATAAACCGCGGTCGCAAATGGAAGGCGACGCGGTCACCCAATGCAAACCCAGACAACACGTGACTGCGCGTGATCGTATTTCGAAAGTCCCACTGTAGTGTGGAATAGTAGCTGCGATACAGGACCCATATATCTCGCTACTAGACCCATGTACAGGGTGTCCCATAAATATTGCACCAAATTTTGAGTTCAATTTCTGCAGCTGTTTATAGCTTTTTTTTTCTCACCAGGTTGACGACCTTTCAATCCTAATCGCTCTGCCAATGAACTGGCGGAACCATAGCGTCGGCAGACAGCAACGACTGCAAGCTGCGCCCACAAGCACGTGCTATCGACCGACAGCTGCTGTCGTCCGACAGCAGCAGTCGGACGACAGCAGCGGTCGCAGATCGATACGCACCCAATGCTGTGCGACACTTGCAGTCGTTGCTGTCGTCCGACCGACTATGCGTCCGGCCAGTCATTGACAAGAGGATAAGGAATTGAAAGGTCTGTCAACCTCGGAAGAAAAGCTATAAACAGCTACAGAAATTGAGCTCAAAATTTGGTGCAATATTTATGGGACACCCTGTACATGGGTCTAGTAGCGAGATATATGGGTCCTGTAGAGAAATTACACAAAATGTCCCGAATGTGAGATTTGTGCATCGCCGGGTATGCACGCAGGTAATGCACCGAAGTCGGAGCGGGCGTCAATGTTTTAAACTATTCATGAGTTCTCGTTTAGCAAATTTCACTTTGGTGATCTCCAGGTATTAGGGTTTTACAATCTTGTTGAGGACGACCTCGAAAAGTCTGTCGACAGACTTGGCAAAGTTACGTTTGTCGTGTACACCTTTCTTTGAACTCGACAGCGAAAAATGCCAACAACGAAAGCAATGAAATTATTCTGTTTACTGCTGCTTGCTCACAAAGCAGCGCTATACGTTGTGTCTGCGTTTCGCCCGTCCCCTGTGCTCTTTCGTCCCTGAATCACACTTTCGCTCACTTCCAATCCCACTGTATCTTACAGTATCTAGTCCCTTGTTAAAATGCTGGTGTCACAGACTTGTTCCCATGCTAAAAAATCTTCGTTTTTGGTATTCTTGGCTGCTGGCTCTTTTCCTGTCACTTCGCACCTTTCATTCTATACGACTATCTGTGAACGCGAAACAGTGCACTCTGAAAATGATGATGGTTCAAGTTGAAAGGCTGCCTTACCAAGGTACCATCCACAACAAACGTCTCCTCGACTTAATAGTATTTTTCGCTAATTTTCGCAGTATATCGGAGCAAATTGCTATGATCGTTCCAAATCACACTCGTTCTAGCCTCACTCATGGAATCGGACGCAGCGGTAACATTGCCGACATCCAACCGAAAGCTCTCGGCTCATCGATGCTTGCTTGTCTTGCGAATATGAACTCGCACTGCACGCTATACAAGTTATAGGTGAGGTGTGTTTGAGTGTGGAAATTACGATGAAAAGATAGCCCATTGAGATCAAAGTAGAGATCGTCAGTAAGGCATGGATGAAGAAAAAAAACAGAAATACGAAGTTATACGAAATTTCATTGGTTTTACTGTCATTTCTTTTATATTCAACCATTACATGTGCTTGCGCATGTAATAAATAAATAAGAAATTGAACCCTCATTTTGCCCGTTATTTGCACAGGCGTGTTTCATCGATGCTAAACTCATCAATCCTAAAGTTTTCTCTGCTGCTAAAGCTTCTGGAGTCGGATGGCGAAGGATCAGTCAATCTGTTGGTGGGC